TATGACTGTGAATAGGTCTCGTCCAACTGTATCGACCGACTTAGTGTGTCTGCGCTTGTCCTGTCTTTTAGGTCGATCTGAGAGGTCTGTCTGAACGCGACCTGTGCTCAACACTGTGCGACATGGCAACAAGTCCCATAGCTCTTCCACCTTTAAAGAATTCCTCCTACTTCCCGTTATCTAAACTTATTCTTCTTCTTTTCTTCGTTCTTACTTCTCACGTGAACTACTATTACGATCTGTTTCTATGTGTGGTGTTCCCGTGCACGTTTAGCGGCAACGTATTTTATATCTTAGTAGAAACATTATTGGCGGAGGAAAGGTGTACTGATGTCAGAACGTGTACACTTTAAATATCGCCCAATGGAGGCATGGAAATATTACTAGAATAATGTCTATATGGATCCTCCACTCTTTGCCAAATTTATCGCCTTTTACCTCGGCGACTGGCTGAAATTTTTCTCGATTTTTCCGTTCGCTGTTTAAATGCCGCTTGATAGACCCATCGATTGCCTCCACATCGTATAATGCATATTCCGTCGTATATATATATATATATATATATATATATATATATATATAAAGAACTCTCTGTATTTGGATAAGGAATATGCTCGGTATTAACGAGGAAAAAGGCTCGACCTTAAACGTCTTGCCCGGTCGTCCGTCCGATGGTCCAATTGCTTGTTATTTTCTCGTTCCTAGCATATACGTGCGTTTCAGTGGCATAGATTCATTAGATAAACAGCACATGTATTTAGGTTCGTAACAAACAAATATCGACTCCAAAACAGGGTGAAGGTAGATTTATTTTAGAGTCTGTTTTACTACAATATCAATATCGATCGATGCACACCACAGAACTTACGCTCATTTCAGCCATACTTTCCTATTCCAGCCATACATATCACTACTCCAGCAGTAAGCAGAGATAGATAGCATCATATGCCATGTATCTCTGCACACTCTATATATATATATATATGTGCGTGTGTGTATTTTTATATTTTGTGTGTTTCATTGTATCATAGTGTATATATATATTAATAACGGCTGATTACTCTATCCATTCTACAAATATAATATGATACAACCATAATCATCGTATTTCAGTAGTCTTTGTCTATAGCCGCTACAGTCTCAGACGGTAAAGCAGGAAACGTTTTGAATTCGATTGATTTATCATGGAACCAAATACAGGCATTTTGTACTACTCAGTCCGTCACCACACAGCATCGTCGATTAATAATTTAGACTCGGAAACTTGTCAAAATGACTTTTTAAATATGAACAAACGTTCGATCCTATGAAACTCAATAACATCAACTGCATTTTTTTTTTTGTTTTTTTTTTTTCTAGATTTTTCATCGTTTCGATGATAGAACTAGTGTTAATGTTGAATAAGAGTGTAAAACCTAGAGGGAAAACACATTATCAACATAAATAAAGTCACACTTGCGTATAGCATCGTTACATTGGTAATGTCGTTACTACTAATTTTCGTTTTATTCAGCTCGAGCTTATTCTTGTTAGTCAGGGTCTTGTGCTTGGCCCGGGAAGCGGGGGAAGGGAGGCAGAATAAAGGACAAATAGACAAAATTCGATTGAAGTATTCTCATTCAGGATCAATAGACAGGCGAAAAAAAACCTCATTTATCATTATCCATTAATGCGTAACAACAGCTGCCCATCGGCACTATTCATGATGATGTGGATGATGTGTTGATTTTTGCCTTTTCCGCTCAGCTTTTCGTGTCCCGAATCTCGCAACTGTGCGCAACCACAGCGTTATTTTAATTCAACTGTCTTCGCGTCATGGTGTTTTGCGATAATAATCGTCGTCGTCGTCGTCGTCGTCGTCGTCGTCGTCGTCGTCGTCGTCGTCGTCGTCGTCGTAGTAATAGTAATAGTAGTAGTAGTAGTAGTAGTAGTAGTAGTAGTAGTAGTAGTAGTAGTAGTAGTAGTAGTAGTAGTAGTAGTAGTAGTAGTAGTAGTAGTAGTAGTAGTAGTAGTAGTAGTAGTAAGTAGTAGTAGTAGTAGTAGTAGTAGTAGTAGTAGTAGTAGTAGTAGTAGTAGTAGTAGTAGTAGTAGTAGTAGTAGTAGTAGTAGTAGTAGTAGTAGTAGTAGTAGTAGTAGTAGTAGTAGTAGTAGTAGTAGTAGTAGTAGTAGTAGTAGTAGTAGTAGTAGTAGTAGTAGTAGTAGTAGTAGTAGTAGTAGTAGTAGTAGTAGTAGTAGTAGTAGTAGTAGTAGTAGTAGTAGTAGTAGTAGTAGTAGTAGTAGTAGTAGTAGTAGTAGTAGTAGTAGTAGTAGTAGTAATTAATTATGGTCACTCCAAAAGGAGCTACGATAGCTCAGCAAACCAACTGGCGCTGATAGAAAGAAGCGAGAATGGAATCGTGCACCGATCCTATCCTGGGGGCATAGTATAGAGACAAGCAGAACAACCGCATGCTTATTTTCCAGTGACAATGGTAAAAATAATACGATTTAACAGTGTAATAATAACAATTGTTAGGAAAGTTTGTATTTGTTTACATTTTTAATGGATACGAGATATCAACCGGTTCGCAATGAACGGCGAGTTAAGTGATCTCATGAAGTAATAGGGTAGTAGTAGTAGTAACAGTAGCAGCAGTAATAAGTCGAAAACATTTTGAAATTTGGACAATTATTGCATTTGTCCGCTTTCGTATGACGCTGTTTTGTTGACGTTAGCTCAGTTTATTAAGTAGGCAGTAGCGTGAAGCTAATTGGTTTGTCCTGCGAGCAATCTTCATCGCTAGCTTTGGCTGAGAGGGAGACACCGGGGTTTCGCGCGCGGAGTAGAAATAAGGTGAGCCTTCCAGTAGGAGACACGTTGAAGTTAGGATTCACAGAAAATATGTTTTCACGTTAAAAAGGGACGATTATACTGAAAGCCTATTGAATTTTTAGATTAATTTCAGTGTAAATCGAAGATCATATGCTTGCCAACATTTACGCTTATATCTTAACCAATTATAGGCCTACCTTTACGCTGCCGCCGTCTGTACTTACGAGTAAATTATACATCAGTAATACCGCGAAAAACGTACAATGTTTTCCCATACTGGTTAAATGTAATGGCAAAAAAATTAGTTCAAGTTTGGTATAGGTCTATAGTGTTCAACCAAATCTCTAAGCATTTACAAGCAAGATGCTATGAGACTAAATATTTTAACATGAAGCTATTATCTTGTATATAATATCAAACCGTCGTAACACGAGTTACATCCTGAAAAGGACTACGCGAGTTACTTAAACAGCTCGCCGACACAACAGGTACTAGTCTGATCGAACAATTGAAACAAATATCAGTATGGCTATTACCCTGCAAGGTAAGGATTTGTAGTTCGATTCAGTTGGAGACACCATGCAGTGATTAATGGCCGTTCGAGCCCCGTATAGTTTCGTACTCGCGTGCTAGGTAATAATAACAATTGATACAACGATTAACCGTAGCTGATATCATAAGAGCAAAGACAAAAAAAAAGCCTGGCGGGGGTGCTAGTTGTAGTTCTGACCTTGCTCAACGGATTGATCCAACATAGAGAGAGAAAGGGAGGGAGAGAGGGAGGGGGGGGGAGAGAGGGAGAGGGAGAGGGAGAGGGAGAGAAAGAGAGAAAACGTTTCGAAAGCAGCTAAAATAGGACAGAAATTTCTATGGTTTGCAAACGAGAACGCCAGATGAAAGCGTTCGGCAAAAAAAAAATCTCATTGATGAACTCTTTATCGACACACCGGCAGATGTGTATCAATGGTCACGTCTCTATTGACTTCCGCCGGCGAGTTCGCTTTTTTTGCTCCAGGCACCTATATTTCATCATCACTATCATTTATAGGGGTTAAATTTAGTAAAATAAACCACTAGTTTCGTCTCCTAAGATCCTTGCCATTTGACAAATAATTGTAATACTTAAAGTACAAACGCGACGGATAGCAATATGTTCTCTCACCTGTAGCATATATATATATATATATATCAAATAACATAGGCGTGTATAACATGCGTTCGACGGCACCCACCTTCAGTATATGTTCATTAGCTGAAATGATGTGTAGATGTTTTTTTTACATATGTAGGAGCTAACTTTGTTCTCGTTTCGTCGGTCCTGCTTTGTTACTGGTAGAAGGTTATATCGTGTGCTACAAGTGTGAGCGTCTCCATCTCTCACATATCCGGATGTTCTCGGTGCTTTTTTTTTGTTGATGTGGTTGATTGGCAGATTATCATTGTTACCAACCGCGGTGCTTTTCAAGAAAATAGTTGAAACCGGTACATAATAAAAATTGTTCAACCTTCCACCGTCAATTCAATGTTAGAGATCTCGATGTTAGACGCGTCTCAAACGTATTATCTTGCCCCAATATCGGAATAGGTTTTCCCTTCTCAACACAGTTTTGCCCTGCCTGTCAATTTGTTATAATCATAATTCACAGTTCATGTAGTCCATCTACCTTATGGGCCTATTGCTGTATTGTGTCCCAATTTTCCATCCAATTTTTTTACTCTTATTATAATCATTACCATCATCATTGTTAATATTATTTTTCTTTGTATTCATATACTATGTACATAGTGTTAACATACACAATTATTTCACAGGTGTTGGGGGTATTCTACACTTGCGATGGTCGGACATTATACTCGTCTATGTCAATGTCTTCCATTGGGGGTTATAGTACTAAAGTATCGGTAGCAATACCAATAATATTATACACAGGCTCCTAACCACCGTTATTCTCTCGTAAGAATAGTAATCCCCAATATAATAATAATAACAATAGTAATTATAAGGTTGGCCATCGTTACTACACTGATCAACTGCTAGTTAATTAACATTTTTGTTAAACTCTTTATTAGTACATTGTTATTATCATCGTTCTCGCTTTTCTTCATCGTAGTCGAGATTATAGTATTCTCTCTCTCTCTCTCTCTCTCTCTCTCTCTCTCTCTCTCTCTCTCTCTCTCTCTCTCTCTCTCTCTCTCTGCGTCGGTTTTGCGGAAGTATACTATTATATTTGTTTGTTTGCTTGGTTTGTTGTTTGTATATTGTTGTTCTGTCAACAACGTGTTCATCGTTGTGATTTTCTTTTCAACTGAACACATACCCATATATTACCGTCATTTATATATGAAGGATGATGTGGTAGACTTGTTTGGTCTCTGTGGGTCTATCGTCGCTACCTAGGACGAACGAATGGACCCGGGTTTGATGCATCCCTGTAAACACTGCTTCTGTTTCACGTTCCTCACCCATTTGATCATCGCCTGTGCTACCTCATGCGCTAGTAATGCTACCATGCTAGTAAGCGGTGGCTGGTTTTTGTTGTCTGTTTTCATCACGTGTAGCCACTTCGTCTTTATCAGCGTCTGTAACTCTATGTAGTGTCGCATATTTATTCCCTTCACTTCCGTCTTCTTGCAGGATTAGCGTTGTCTTTCAATATAGCTAGTTCTTGCCTTATAGATTTCTGCATATTCTACCTATAGTGCTTGCTTCTTACGTTTCTATCTTAGTTCATCTTCTCCAACGTCTATGTAATATAGCTATATTACGAGATTGTTGCTCTTTCTTTATGTAGCGCTCTCTTTTTGTCGTTCTCAGTTTTCTTCAAACTGTTGAAACGTCCTTTGCTGCCTACCCTTGACTTGTGATTGTGATCTTTGTCTGGCGACAGAAGCTGAGAAATCCATTTTATACGTGCCGCTATGCGATGCCCATTACTCGTGGATAAGTGGAGGCCAATATCTGATTTTACTTTTACAAAGGTTTTCTTTGCCTGTGTCACATCGTTTGCGGTCCAGCCTAGGGCGACTGTCAACATCTGTGAGGTAATGCAAGTCCACAAGCTCCACACTATGCGAAGACACAATTCTCTCTTACATTGTAGAATTCCCTTATTTTCTCCTTTCGGCCCTTGCTCCACACTTCGTTAACGACGTTATTGACCCGGTCAGGTATTCCTTTGCTCACTGATTGATTACCATCGGCTCTTAGGAACAACGGATGAACACGTGCCCGTGGACGGCGTCACGATATTTGGCAATGAACTCAGTGAAAGTGGTCTACGAAAAAGAAAAAAGACCGCATTAGCGGCTAGTTACCCACAAGTGCTGAATACGGAAACCCCCAACGTCCTAGAGAACTCTAAATTATTGAGAACGTTTATTCCAAAATGCTTACAATTTGACACCTTTGGCCCTTCTGCGAGGTACCGCAGGTCAGGAAAAAAATCCTCGTTCCATCTTCGACCTAATTACTGCCGTTTCCATGTGCAGCTGGCTGGGAATTTGACGCTGTGACCGCTGCCTGTGAATTTGATGACGATAATGACGTTGCGATGCCGGACATCATAATGACAGACGTGGCCGATACTGTCGATAGAGTCGAGCTCGATGTCTGTGTCGGTTTGCTGCTTGTCGAATTGGCTTCATTCGTTGTGCCGTAGATTTTTCCTGCTTTCTTTGCCATTGAGGACAAAAGCTCAAGTGAATTCTTGTGGGTTGACTTTAATGAAATCAGCCATTCCTGCCGATGATAAAAATGCTTATTATTATTTGGCTGGTCATTTTTTAATATGTATATATTTCACAACATTTATAAACAGGTACAATTGTAAGCCAATAGCTCATTGTCCAAATCGGTAGAGATTTTTTGGTACTCGTCTATGAGAAGAGAAATACTGATACGATAACACGAGACGATTGAAGTTGTAATCATATTTAACAACTGAAACTTGAAGTAAAAAATGTGCTTTCGGAAAAATTCATAGGAATAGGAGCGGAGAGCTACTCACCTTTAGGCCTATTTCATCCTGATTCGTTAGGACTATACGGGCGTCTTTTTCTTTTTCGGCCCGATCGCGCATCCGTAATACAATACATTGTTCGCTCTTTTCGAATTATCATTTGAGACATTGAGATACACAAAATTCATAGTGACGTGTTAGCATTATAAATAAAAAATCAATCGCGAATGAACATATGGACAAATTTATGCATATGTTTTTCAATATTTTTTAATCGTCTTATTATATCGAGGTATCATAAACATTTGCAATTTCTGTTATTTATATACTAGAGCAAGTTACCGCCTTAAAGCAAAATGAATCGCGTAAGACAATACATATTTTTAAGGTATTGCAGGTCTTTTTTTTTGCAGAAGCGACGCCATAACAAGTGTATTCCATCTGTGCTGCTCCGTCGAGATCTGACGAAAAGACCATGTGTCGCAGGAACTCACGATAGCTAAACATTACCTATCGGCCATGTCGCCTATCACCTGTAAGTGCTTTTCCTCTTATTTTTATACTCTCCTACCTTAACTGTTACATAATCCGAAGCGACATCTTCAATCTGATCCATAAATATCAGATCCGGTTTCCCCGACTCGCTGTGCAGCTCTAATCTGTTGGGATAGAGTTTACCTGAAGCCATTCAGGAGAAATGGTACGTCATTCATATAGCGATAGCAGAGGTTAAATAAGACATTCTGTGTTGGCGGATCTGATGCGTAATTTGGATTGTCAAATTGGACAAACGATTGAGATCGGATATTTATATATGGTTTTTTCTGTGCTGCGAAACAAAGATCGTCCATATAATAACCTGATGTACAACAACATAGAGGGAAAAGTAAAGCTATAGGGGCTAAAAGTACTATAAATCGCGAATGCTATAGCAAACATTAGAGCAACACTAGTCCTTAGTATTGCCCTACCATGTGGCTGATATGGACTCGTTATAATTCATTCATTTCTAAGAAAATATCGATTGAGGGCACCTATGTCATTGGCGCATATAGACTCCCGGACAAAAGGTGAATCTATATAGGTATGCCACCAACGATCTCGTTCAAAGGAGTTCGTCATGCCGAGGGGGAAATGTGTTTCTTAGTAGAAAGGGTTAGGATTTTGGTTAACAAAGTTCGTATTACCATTTATTTATATTTTATTTATTACCAAGCTAGGCTGCCAGTCGTCTTTTATAGTTCACACGGTGCAGTAGAACTTTATGTAAAGCCGGTTTCTGAATGACCCCAGCGCTCCCACATCCACGGGTTGTACATTGTATCGAAGGTAACAAGGAATAGCACCAATATCAGCACCGTTCCCTAACGCTACCTCAGCTGAACTTTCGCCTGCCGTGCATCGTTTTGTTCGAATCATGCGTTGTGGCAATAGAGTCGTCAGGATTTTTTCGGAAAGCAGCACATGTAATACGTTGCTGATAATAATGGTCTGTAGTATATGATGCCTTAGTTTAACTTAATATCTATAGGCGTTCCTGCTAAATTACACCCTGAGCCCACAGAGCTGTTTCAACTTCACTGCGAGATTGGCATAATTTCGAACATGCTCGTTATATAGCCAGCTATAGATCGTCATCTTGCTATGGCCCACACAGTTTACGAGGGAATCATTCACAATATAATGATTTCTATAAACTGTATCTTGCTTTTGGTTTTCATAGAAAGTACAGGTTTGGAACGCACGACACCGCTCCAAAGAAGTAAACCATCCTACTTTGTTTCTTTATCGTTCAAAAAAAAAGATAAACGAAAAACAATAAAAAGTATTTCCCGTATAAGCCCATTTTTTAAAATTTAGTCTAAGAAAAAATCCAGTAACTCAAAATTTTGGGTTGCAACAAAAGGTTTGGGTCGTGTGCATCCCGAAAGTACTGCAAATTTGGTATCTAGGTCAAATTTAATGTCGAGATTATCTTGCTAGAAGAAAAGCAGCGGCTATAGCCTTTTTTCGCTACATTATTTTATTATGACATTATTTGTTGTTTTATGTTTTTTACTAGTTGTTTTAATAAAAAGAATTTTTTACGAGAAAGTTTCTATACACACACGTCGAGGCATGTTAGGTTTAGAATGAAAAAAACGGTACATTTAGAGATAGATCAGGGAGTTAACTGTCAATTAGGAAGGAAAGTAGGTTTCTAGTTGACACGGATGGTTCTTCAATTGTCCGCTTAACGTTTGCCTAATTGTCTACTTCAATCTCTTTCCTGTGCAAGACTGCTTTTCCTACACTGTATATACATATACATATATATATACGCAATTTTGGTATCTTCATACCGTATCTGGTTTGCCACGCTGAGGCAAAAGGTCCTCCAAGTTTCTTTATGTAGCCATGAACGATGCAGTCTGACTCCTTTTCTTCGTCAAATTTTACCTGTTTTTTTTTTTGCAAGAAAATAGAAGATATGTGTTTAGAATTTCATTATAATGAAGACGAATGTGACTTCAAGCTGATTTTTGAATTTGAAAAGACACTGTCAGAGGGAAATCGTCGCGAAGAATCGTAGAAAGCCTTCAAAGCAGCCATAGACATTACCTTGCTCTTTGCCTTGTTTTTAAGTTCTTTCTTATCGGTTTCTTGGTTAACGTTCTCGAACACGGTCTCAGCTATTTCCTGTTGCCACCGTTCCGAAATAACGACGGGGAAATTTTTGTACAGCTCTTGATCCGCTTCAGTTAGTTTGATCCCTATTACACAGACGAATGGGTCCTGTTTTAACATTTAACCGCGACACCATGCGTTTAATCAAGCCGAAAACTATTGCTCAACTTACCTGTACATTGGCTGTATGCGATGACGCTATGATAATACATACCTTTCGTATCTTCCTCGTCGAACGACCCGATGTCAAATGCATCTGCCGCATTTACCTCCCCCCTGGGTGGGATCAGGGGCGGGGGATATTTTTGTAGGTACACTAGCTGCCAATCCAAACCAGAAAAAAACGGGTGACTTTTCACCTCGTCCGCGCCTAATCCACGACAGCCTGCAGGACGAAGCAGAACAATCGCCGTCAATGCCACGACTGCGCAGCAGTGTATACGATGAAGAGACTTTTTGAAAAACTCTCGGTACCATCTTTGTTTAAACGTCTGTTTGGCTCATCTGTCATAGAAGATCGTTTTGAACCAAAGTATACCGCATTAAGTGGTTAGCGTATTGACAACAGCTGTCTATGAAATTATTCCCGTACGGAAGATGGAGACGTAGTCAGTAAGTAGCACTTATATGTCTCGTGTGTATGGTTTCAAAGTTTCTTTATACCGCGGCTGATTTTTAGCCTCTACTCGTTGTACGTTGGGTAACACGAAATCTGAACCGTGAGGCTATATTAGTACGATGGGTCCACTAACTGAGTACACTTGTTGAGACTTGCTAAGGGCAGGCTTTACATTACAATGTACTAGCCCCGAAAGGTATGTCTAATTAAAGTCTATCAGTGTGACATGTCTTGGTGAGATATGTCGTATTTACAATGTGAGCAAAATATATCTGTTCGACTATTTTAGTGGTCTCTTCACGGAAACTTCTCGTGTCTTACACGGTTAAGCCGTGACAAAGTAACGATATTCATATACAAAACACACCGTAATATATCACTGCAATACAACTGTGATAAAATTGTGGTGACATTTACATGTTATTTCATTACCGTTCACAAGGCTATTATTATTATTACTACTACTATGATCTTTCTAGGCTAGTTCTATATAAGGCCATGTGTAGGCCATCGATGCGTGTGCGGTAGCATAAAATAGGAGGCTACCCACCCAACCGCTTCTCAATGTCTCGATGAAGCAGGCCGTCAAGAAGGTGGCGCAGTTCGGGTGAGAAGCTATCCGGTAGTTCGACATTCATTGTGAGGGTCATCCGATCGATTTCGTGCTTGTCCTGAAATAGGGAAGTCCCGTACGACCCATTGGTTGCCCCTCGGTTAATCATTGCTATTCAGTCTATATGCGATCGTCATCATTTATGTTGTTATTATTGTAAAGGGCCATAAATAGCTCAAAAACACATCCGTGGTAACATCGGTGCATGTTGAAGTTATTTGCAAAAACCTTAGTTTAGTGCCCTATTCTTCAACAAGACTAGCACGACCGCAGAAAGAAGCCTGTGTGCACTAATTTTACTCTATACAAGATTCAAACTTGAATGTATTTTCACAGAAGAATTAAGCACTAACGATACAAACCTTGGTCTTATGTTGTCGAAAAGGGCTATGCCCTTTTAACAGTTTATAGAGCATACAGCCTAGGGAGAACCAGTCGGCGGAAGAGTCGTAGGCCGTACCCTTCGACAGCACTTCAGGGGCCATATAACCATGCGTGCCAACCGATGCGTGCGGCTTCTAAAATGTAAAAATAACCATCGAAAATGTAACAACTGAATGTTCTTTTTTAAATCGTACCTTCATCAGCATTGGTCGCCTGTCGCGCAGAAATCTCATCTGTCTCCGAAAATCGCGCAGAATTAGTTCTGCGCGATTTTCGAAAAGGCAAATGTACGTGGGCGACGCCCTAAAAGGCTATTGTAGACGTGACGCAACCCAGTTCATGTCGATTTTGCTTCCCTTAGGAAAGTCAACACTGATCCGAGTTCGCAGATGATCAAGATAATTTTCTATTCCATCTAGGTAAATGTACCTTTTTCGAGAAATCACAAGCGAGGCCGAGATCGGAGATTCGGACGTGGCCGTTTTCATCAAGGAGGATATTGGCGGGTTTCAGGTCGCGGTAGACAACATAGCGGCGATGCATGTGCTCCAGACCCAGGATTACCTGTAAGCAAAATAGGTTTAAAATGTTACAAAAAAAATTATTAGGTTGTTTCAAAAGCACTAATTGGCTTGTTAGCAAAATGGCTTTATGTCAAATATCTTGGGTAGAATGAGTTGTGTAGGATGATCGTTGCTGCCATTCGGAAGCTGAAGTTTGACAGCGGTAAATATTCAAATGTCTGTATTCAGACTTAACATAGAGCGTCCTGAAGAGGGACGAAATTTCTGCATAAATTTGCTACATTTCTTTTTATTAGGATAATGGCACGGGTGCCATTCAATGCGAAGATGCCTCGCCGGAAGAAACAGGCCACAATGGTTTTTGTAGCGTACGTGCTGGAAATTTCGACCTATTGTAGTGGACGACTAACTATGAAAAAAAGGTGATACAATTATTAAGAAAGTTAAGCAAGATAATACCTGAATAACCACGACATCGCTTACTTAACGGAATACTTACCACTAAACAATTTCGAAGAAAGGTTAAAGAAAGCTGGCAACAACACATTTGAGTGCCATACGCAAAGGGACCTATTCTGCCATCTATTATAGATCGTATCTACAAATATATATATATATATATATATATATATATATATATATATATAACGAGAAGTGATCCACATACAGCAAGGGTACATGAAATAGGCTGTGATCAAGGCGAGACTAGGCTCCAAAATCTGAAGCAAAGCTTAGATCGACATCAAAAAAGGTGACACTATGTCTTTGGTAGCTTTGTACACCAAGGAATTATGCATTCCAAGCTGTTGCCGCCTGGATTACTTACTGCCATCTTCCACTGTAACAAAGGCCAGGCAATATGCGCTTTTAGCTACCAAAAAACTGAGAGAATTTAAATGGGAAAACTTTAGTTATTCTGTCATATAGCGCGGATCTTGCATCATCTGACTAATATCTGTTTTGGTCTCTACAGAACTTATTAATTAAAGAAGTTAATTCAGTTTCAGCAGAGTTCTACAGCGATAGGAATATGGCGTTACCAGAAAAACTGAGAGAGAATCCACGACCAAAATAGTGCATATTTAGTTTAAGAACATTTTTTTACGATACACAAAAATCTCTTCAATTTGACTTAAGAACGGTCGGCACCTTTCCAACATTTATCATTGTAGAATTCTGCCAGAGTTGCAAGCTGGGTCTTTTCCCTTCCAAGAATCCACTGCTTCTGATTGGCTAATTTTTCTAGTTAAGTTCGTAGCGGGAGGACTACTTATATCCCGAACTATAATCATTGGGCCGGATCTTGTAGCCTATTTATATACCAAAAGTGCTATCGAATAGAAACTTTTTTAATTAGTCGTGCATGAGCGTACTATTCCCGCCACGACGGATTTGACTGTCAGTATAAGAAAAACTGTATTCTCCAGGAGATCATGCACAATCGCAGGGCTATATAGGATATTAGCAATTGATGTCGAAGCGGTAACAGATAGGCTTGTCTCTAGCAAATCGCAGTGAACCCCGCAGATCATCTGGGAAGTGTTAAATGATAGCAGAATCAAAGTTCCAATAGTTAATTAATTTTATGCCAAGAACTTTTTCCTGCCGATCCTTTTGTATTAGCTACACTCAATCATCGTGATAACTATTTGCTTGTTTTCCAGACTCGTCTGCGCCTGCCTAGTAATCCCTTTAGCCCTCACTAACAGCAAACCTGTAGGAGAACAAAAGGAACCAAAGCCTAAAAAACAGTGTAAGCCTGCAACCTACCTCAGCCGCGTAAAAGCGCATCTCGTTTTCGGTGAAAACTCCGTGTTGCGATAGATGATAGTGTAAGTCGCCACCGTTCATCAGGTCCAGGATAAAACACAGCTTATCTGGCGTCTGTAAAGAGCAACAGCACTTCTATGTAGACCTATTCGTAAGCACATTAACGATCCGTGCTTAACTCCATGGACGATTTGACCGATAGTTATTTGCTATGAACGAGTAATTTGTTCTTTTTTTCGCTTCCTTAAACGTTTATGGGTGTTGCGTTGGCCTGATACAGGAACTCAGTGGAAAAACAAAACAGATCTCAATAGTACTTATAGAACATACAATAATTCCGTGGGTCCTACACACCTGGAAGGCATAGGTCATACAGACGATAAATGGACAATCCTCGCCAGTGGAGACGAGCGACAGCATAATCCGTTCGTTGAGAGCTAATGTTTCGCCTTGCTTCATTTTAATTCGCTTCTTGTCGAGGCACTTCATCGCGTACATTTTACCAGTATCTGCTTTGCGACACCCATAAACCTGAAAGCGTCGGCCGCCAAAACAAGGCGATGTCCCTTTGAGCGCGATCTGAATTGTAATACCTAAGATAAATAAGACCAACGACTGGAACTTCTGTTTTCAATTTGACGTACTACATACGAAGTAAAACATAAGTACGAAAACAACCGAAGCTATATTTAGCTAACTCTTCAAAATCTTATTAGGCATTTGATACAATTAGAATGATCTATCAGAATGTATTCTCACAAAGTTTCATTGCAGCTATGAAAACACAGGAAAGGCCTCTACAGGCCGCTTACCTCTCCAAAGCCTCCTCGTCCGATTATTCGATGAACCGAAAAGTCGTTCATACTCAATTGAATATTCAATTCCAGATTTTTCCATTGGCAGAATCTACCATAACAGAAGTTAGTCAGTAGTTAAACTTCTTGCCTATTGGGACTTTTTACATTTGAAAAATGCATGGTTTGTCATCGCATCACCGCGTTCTTACGATAATTTAATACGTTTCTTTATTTGTGTTACTGGCGCAGCTTGAATCCTCGCAGTGTTCTGAAGAGCTATACTGTACTATCAGCTATAGTTGTTGTAGATGGCATACTGAAAGGCGCAACATAAATGAACTTACCTTGTGTATTTATCACTTTCGATAAACTTGGCGAAGATATCTCCCCGCAAAGCGGAAAAGATCTCTTCAATGTATGGCTGAAATAGCCCGACTGGAACCTCGTTTCGCATGAGATATTTCTGCACGTGAGCCACCGATTCCAACGAGTATGTCTAAACTCGAGGATAAATTCCCGCATACATTCGTTAATTAACTGGCTTAACGATAGCTAGAAGCGGTATTGTCAAGGCGTGCGGATGTTTTTTTAGCTCCAATGTATATCTAGGTTATATTCAAATTAGTAATAACCTGCTTACACAAACAAAGAACAACTTCCTTATTATTGTTCCATAAAAATCGGCCATTATACTAATGGAAGAGTCGGAGCAACATCGTAATAAACCTGTGAAAGTAATTTAAGATAATCTTCAATCACTGAAGCATGAGACAGCAGTACTTTCGCGTCATACTAGGATGAACGAAGATTCTCACATGGGTATGCGATAGCAGCTCTCTCATGATGTAATTGTCGTAGATTTCCCGGGCCGCGGCACGTCGCTCTTCCACAGTTTCAAGCTTCTCGTATTTCTTAATCTCTTCATAAAAAGCGAGTTGTGCTACCTGGGAAAGATCAAAAAAAAAAAAATTGGCGGGCGCGAATGTTATGAATACGAACAAGGTAAAAAATCGCGTCTTACCGAATCTACAGGAGTAACCTGTAGTAGCTGATTAATCGCGTGTATCAACTAACGGGCTTCCGCTTAAATAAATTTATCAAGTACTGAGTAATAGTCGTAACGCGTAGGTCCATATCGGTATCCTCGATAAGTACTATGTTTAAACCGCAATTTTATTAATTATTTTCTTCAACGATGTATTGCACGAGGCGGTAAAACTCTTCATTTTTAAGATAAACGCCAGTCAAATAACATTGCGCATTTACTATATGAAAAGCAACAGATTTAGTATCCGTTGAAAAAAGTATAGAGAAACTAAGCCAGTGCCACCGGTGTTTTCCCCTTTCGTTATAGGCGCAATACCTCCGCATAAAATAATGACGTTGGGTCCTTTTGATTATGATATGTTGCGACAATTTAATTAGCGATTCTGTGTTCTCTGCACTGATACTGAATCGACTCCAAACATTAGGAAACGCATTATACTCTTCTCGTCAACAGATGGCAGCGCAATGAGCCCTAAGCCAATGTTTTTTTTTACTGGCTGCGCTATTTAAAGTAGGCTTCAGGCCTGTACATCTACAAACCAACTAAAAACGGACTAGTTCTTGCTGCTTTCGTATAAGTTTTCCCTTCTGCCAGAAGCCCGTATAATAATCTGTCCAAGCAGATTCAATAAATCCTGTTAGCTGAATGGCCACTGCCGGCTGGAACCAGCCATTTTGAGATTTTCCCGACGTCGTTTTTCCCTCGCCGGTGGCAGGTTCTTTAATCAAAGAATGTTACTTCCCATTCCGACACTCCTACTTTGCGGCCTATCAATGCCGGTATAAAAGTTCGTTGTCAACATGGTGGTCGTGGAAAGCACGATGGTGGGGCAGCAATTGCCATCGGATACGGTGTCTCATCAATTCTAATCATAAGTGAAGGACTTCTAGTGGCTGGTGGGTTGTCGTATGCTGTTGCGTTGCTCATGTCCCACATACAGCGTTGCGTTCGATGGCGCTATACGAATGGTAAGGTGTATCTTAAAATGTGTATGTTGCTACTAAGGCCAGCCGGTGATGGGGTTTTTGGGGCGCTCTAATCGACCTGCTACGGCGATAAAGACATGATGGACGACAACGCACTTTCTGCATGCCTAGTGCGATTCGTAGAGAACTGCAAATCATTTCGAAGGAGCGTCACAAGACTACATTGACTGTAGCAGTTGCGGCCAGTGTAGATTTGGCACCTACGATAGAAGGTCCTTTTGGAAAATAAGCCGTTACTCCTTTTTTGGAACAAAGGCAGCCTCTGCTATTGGAGAACGTACGCGCTCTTCGTCAAGGTTCTTCCGACAACAACAGAACGACTTGCTAGCGGGTAATTGAAAGATATCACACAATGCTTTCGAATTCCATCAGGCGATGGCAATAATAACGGCTAATGGCCATATCGATTTGCTACTTTCCGTCGGGAGCAACTGTGCTCAGTTAATAAAGCTGCATTCCTATGGGGTTAACCTAATCTATAACATTTATGGTACAGTTGTCTCACAGTAAATCGTTCATACGTATCGCAGAGCTGCGGATACTGAAGACAATCTCGAATATTAATGAAGATCTATGTAATTTTGATTATTATCTCATCTGAGGCAGGCAACACTCAACGGCAGTACGGTAAAAAATTTTAGAGCATTCGCTCCTAGTCCCGTCTGTGATAGCTAAAAGAAAAGGCTGGCTAGAAAGGAATATGCCTTAAATAAAATACACGATTAGCCTATACTTGTCTATGAAAGGATATGGCCAGGTCATTTCGCATTTAGTAAACAGCAGACGCTTGTCCCCGTGGCAGCGGAGTGGATAACGTGTTTTCCAGCTAAGCTGAAAGCGGTCTAGGTTCAAATCCGTGCGTGAATACAATCTCGTCCCAGCCAGTGCCAGCTACGACTACGCTTAAAGGCTTAAGTAAAAACAGGAAAAACACGTAGTAAATGTTTGGTTTGGTGATATGTATATTCCTGACGTTAGTTGTACACACAGACCCCTGGGCATAAATCTTGTGTTGAGAAGGAACGAATCAGTCTATTTACATAAAGTGAAACAAGCGATAACAAATCACACAAATAGTACATGTACTGACCTGTTCGTCGCAGATATTTTCGCAGAAGTCTTTGAAAAGGAGGTATCCGAGCTTCTGGTTGAAGATCTTGTCGAATGTTACTTCTCCCATCTTCTCCAAGTGCTTGTGCATGACACTTCGAACACTGGAATGCATAACAACAAAAGAGGACAAGGAGGGTTAGATTACATTGGTAGATCTAAGGACAATGGTTAAACTTCTCCATTAAAGGGGGATTATAGACGTTCTCGTGACCGCTCCGTAAGTCAGGAGCTGCTTTATAAGTCCTCAAGGACTTCGTTGTATTTAGTTCTCACTAACCGATACAGAAAGCTTTGACAGTGGCCTTTATGAAGTATGGTCCAGTCCTGCGTTACGCGAAGCTTTATGGTATTTGGTCTGTGGAAAATTGCTACCAAGGTTGATAAACTCTAAAATTGTCTGCTTGTTTTGCCCCTTAGCCAAATCCGAGCCCCGCATTTTTCTTAAGGAAGAAACATCCCCCCACCGCCCACATACACACTTGATTAATCGAGTGATGTACCAGGCAAACATTTAAAATCACAACGAAATCCAGTAAATTTTTCACTCAGTCCGCCAAGTCTGTCTCAGATAAATGTACAAGCGAAGTTTTCTGCTCAACTGTGTTAATGACGCTGTGACCCAAATCGTAGAGTTGGATTTTTGATTACGTTTTCGGATGATAGGTCAATCGCTATGCATCGATTTGACCTCTATTTGAAGTAGTCGAACTATCTGAAGACGTGCTACAACGGGCAGATCTGATTACCAATCAACCCTTCTAACCGGTACTTTCCCGCTAGTATGCCGTCATGTTGCATTGCAAGTTGATATAATAAGCTAATCTGAACGAGGCAAGGCTAAGTGATACTTAAGTTTAAAGCGATAACATTCAACATCTCATTCGCCTCACGATTTCCAACATAATCCCTTGAAGCAGCTCTCCTCAATCTCAAAAATGGTTTGTTATCCAGTCATTTTTTAATTCTGAGGAATTCGGTAACCGCACCGCGGTTACGACCGTCTCCGAGTCATTTGATTTTTTAAGAGTCTGTTATAAATTAAGTCGAATTCGATCGTGTTCGTTAGTTGTGAGACGTTCAGAACTGTGTAAGCCTCGTTTGTCCTTCTGTCGCCTACACAAAACAGTGAACGTCAGGAGCAAACCGTCCTGCTAAGTGTTCTTGTGCAACGCTATATTTGGGTATAAATCGTAGCGTGGCGGAAAAGCTTCCTACATAGCAAGAAAAAAAATCGCTATCGCTAACAAATGCTACCGGCACCGAAAATACGACTTTGGATCTGCTCATTTTATTTTGACGTTCGTTTAGAGTCGGTAGTGTTGGCGTGTGTGTGTAGAAAAGCGGGTTTCCGATAGATCACAGATTAGCACATCATGAGCCAGGAATAGGCTTTCAATAGGAGATATCGTTGTAAAGGTTCTCCCAAGCGTAGGAGCAACACTGCGAGTGTTCTGACAAACACAAAAACCTATCTATGCCTTCGTAGAAAAGCAGCCTGTGAACGGGTGTAGGGCAAACGCTAGAACTGTATTGAATCTATAATATCTAAGCTATTGTTCTCAGACGTACATTAATGTCATTCAGGAATCGGGTCTATATACAGGGCAGGAGGAGGGACTAGGCTTACCGTTATTCATACCCAACGCTGTTAGATCGTTACAAGCGAATTCAATAGATTTTGAAACTGAAGAAATTTTGAAAGAGTCGGGTTAAAATGATGATTTTTTAGTGTATGCTGTAGGAACCCTTTCTTATTTTTTACACACTTATTCCAACGTCCTGGCGGCCTTTAGGCTGCCATAAATTTACCATTAGCATTCCCCTATGATATTTCTCGAAATAATTTAGTGGTCGGATATGCCTGTCCGCCAGCTGCTTTTTTTATAACATGAAAGTCCCGTAAGCAGACGGAGTTAAATCGGGGGAATAAGCACGATGAAGCCGACGTTGGATATTCCTTTGTTCAATCTAGGAAGTAATTGAGGCACGGCGATGAGGTGTTGTCGTTGTCATCAAGTAACCAGAGGTTAGAGGCACAAGCCTCTTAAGGAACCCGAGATAGGAAACGAGAAGAGAATAAGAAATGCCCCTTTTGTTAATTGTAAGTACTGTTATCACCTTGGATCCGAAGATATTCGATACTGAACATCTCGATTTACCTCCAGAACACCGCCATTCGTTCATTTCATCCCTCTTCGACTGACAGCAAGGACTGAACCATACCTCGCCTATGGCGATCGTATGCTCCAGGCTGGCTTTTTGTTAATTAAAGTTCTACAGACTGCACGTGGAATACACGGCGCGCATTTTCAACTTCCGGTCAATCTATTTTCTGCGCAGTTTCTGCATTTTCAAGACTTAAGTTATAGTTCTCGAATACGTTGTATCTGCAGTGCTAGTTTTATCCAATAAGGATCTTAGATTCCTTGCTATGCCTTCGTGAAAGCTTCACCAATCGCGGCAATGTACTCTTCCCTCGGGTGCCGACATCTGGTCACCACCAGCTTGGTCTTCAGCATTCCAGCTCTCCGCTCTTGGAACGTTCGTACCGTCTACGTCCTGTGCATTCGCTTAAGACATATTTGCCAAATCTTCGGTGAATTTCCGCAGTGTTGTGGAACAAAAGCTTGGACACTGAGCATTGCTTTTCAAGACTGGAAGATTTCTTTCTTTCGAACTTATTTCTTACCAGCTTTCACTTTCTTTCTCGTCTGCTAGTAATAACGTGCATTTCAAAAGTTACTCAAAGCCAAATTTGCTGTTAACACCCTAACGTTACTCAACTTATTCATATACATAATCTGCTAGCGATGGCCAACGGCCAACAATTGGTTCAGGGTTGTTTTAAAAATTATCTCAGACTTTTGTTTTTGTATATTCAAATGGTTTGTCTATTTACGTCTTCTGTTATTAAACACAGCTGACATTTCGATATAATACAATTTCAGTTAAAATTTTCGGCTATTACGCCATGTAATTAATTTGGGCGTTCGTCTGCCTTTAAAAGTGTATCACATAACATTATAGTGCAATTAATGAAAGAAAAAAGGTGTAGGATAATCGTAAATGTTTATAATTATCATAAGGGGCGAAAAAGCAATTTGACAGAGCATATCTGCGCGATTATAAATTGGTCTACTCTGACAAAGGTAATCTTTGTTTTTTTGTTACTACTATTATTACAGGGTTATGGTATCCAATACGGCTTATCAGGCGTTGAAGATAAACTATGCGCATGTATGTACGTACGTGGGCATGCGATACTGGTGTAGGACCCTATGCGACGATAGACACTAATGTAGAAAGACTGCTCTTGGACCTACTGACAGGATGTTTCGTTTTGGGTACAATAACAGATTTAGATGATAAACGATGTTATTATTTCGAGCAGAGATATCAGTGGTTAACACTCTGCCACAAACACATTCGCGGGACAGGGCATTAGATATATACTAATCATGTCGACAGGTCCAGCTTACATCGTGTTGACAAGGTCCAACTCTGCACGTTTTGCGAAGATTTATAAATTTTCAAACAGGTCTTTATAATCGACGTTGTAGTGCTACCTGAATTATTATTGTTACCTGTTTAAAAAATAATTTATTATATTTCCTTATTAGCTAATATTTGTTGAGACATTTAGGTAAAACATGAACATGCCCGCGAGAATGAAGTTCGATTAGAGTTTGCTTGAATTCGGGATGTCCACTATAAGAGGATACAAACCCTCAGTAAAGTTCCCTAGCAAGAGCAGAATATCTAAAATCATGCAATAGAACTTAAAATGTTCTACGAAGTTCTCTCCCCTTAGGCCTGCTTGTCCATGAGCACAAAAGTAAAGTGCTTTTTAATGTTGCTTCTTTATGGCTAACTATTACCTATCGTTTCGTCTCAAGCCGTCAAAAACTTGTATCGGCTAGTTACCTATGAAGCTGAGTCATGGAGTTGTTAAAGGTGCTGCAGTGAGTAGTTTTCGTCGAAGCATCTATGAGTATACTGTTGATAACGATGCCAGAGTTCGAACGCATTTCTCTGCACTTATATTTAGAAGACTGACTTTATTTAAAAAAGAAATTGCTTTAACAGTGTTTTATTTTACAAATTTGTTTATGTCAAACAGGTGGATTGAGCAATCTTGAATGGCCATTATGATTTCTCACGATAGAAAGGTAAAACGTCTAACGCACCGCTGATTTTCTAAGCAATTTTTATTATTAAAATATATAGGATATCTAATAGTGTGACGAACATTTAGTTCTTGCATGGGGCTTGTCCGTGTATGCACGCAGTTGTCCATACAGAACGCAGAACCCTTTCTACGCAGCGTAAAAATTAAGCAGGAGGTCCCTATGGATTAGTCCACCCACGAAAAAATCGGCCCACCGACAATCATTACCCCATTTTGGCGTTCTCTTTGGCTCATCGGTCAATGTTTTCGCTTTTAGGCAAAAAAAGGTTAGAATCAGTAAAATCCTGTACCGGCAAGCATTAAAAAGAGGAGCTGAAGGCTAATAGAAGCGAGAGCTCCTCGATAAACTTTATGCTGGGCACTGTTTGCCGGCCTACTGGCGCTGCATATGTATCGCGGGCATTAAACCGGGTCCTTCCTTTACTCCGAGGAGGAACGCACACAACACACGCGGTAGCTACAATAGTCACGGCTGAGCGACAGGCGGTCGATGGCCACTTGAGACGAGGCCAGACGCACACGGAATGGCGACCGGATCAGAAATGATCAGGCTTCTCCTTGTCGACGAACTTAAAGCCTATTCGTATACCTTCTTGCGAAACCCACTTGCTGTCGCCGCGACGAACACTCGTGGCTTTGTAATGGACCCATGTGTACGAAGGCAGCTAGAATGTGTATGCTTTCCGAGAGTGGCTCGGAGCGCTATTTGTTGCGGCAACTACGTTCCCCCTCATGAATCAAGGCAGCCGGCTCGAACCGTCACTGCCAGCCAACCTATCTTAACCTGGTAGGCTGTGTTCTATTTTAAGAGTGCGCCACGATGATTCCTGCGGAAGATGTTCGGATGAGTCATGGCACCAACTACCGTGTCTTACCACTATAACGACCCTGTCTACAGATAAAGACATCGGA